GTATTGAACTGCCTTTATCTGTAAATTTTAAAGTTTGACTGTATAAATTATCAGTCTCTGCTGAAGGGACCTAATCCAGGATGTTAAATGGGATTATTGCCATCTTACACCATATTTTTGTAAAATGTAGCTTAATCATAATCTCACACTGAAGATTTTGCATCACTTTTGCTATTATCGTTCTTTTAAGAATTATAAACCAAAAGAATTTACGCCTTAATGTGTCATTATATAACATTCCTTAAAAGAATTGTAAATATTGGTGTTTGTTTCTGACATTTTAACTTGAAAGCGATATGCTGCAAGATAATGTATTTAACAATATTTGGTGGCAAATATTCAATAAATAGTTTACATCTGTTAAAAAAAAGAATGTTCCTCCAAAATATAACAACATTAGTCTCACTTAGCAATGATTAAGTGCCCCCAAGTCAAATAGGACTCACAATGACCCTATGAACAAAAGACCTGAATGCTGTTCTATAACTAACATAATTTCTCTATGTTCATAGAGTTTCCAGAGGCATGTGGTTTTGGAAGTGGATGCCCCTTCTACTTCCAAACCTGAATGAATCTGGAAGCTTCTCCAAACACTGTCCATGATGGGTAACCATTATGGTTTTGACAATACTAAGGCACAGTGTTCAGCATCACAGCAACTCCAGGTTACTTTACTACATCAAATAGATGACTGCTATACCACTTAAAGAATGTTCATTCCAAAATTAATTTCTGAGAAAAAAACCAATTGCACAACCAAACATCTTCCTTACATGACCCTCATTAAGATGTGAGAAATCATCTTCCACAGTGAAACAAACAACTCCATAAGAGCCTCCAGGCTAGCCAATATTAATGATTATTGTTGTTGTTCATTGCCATTGAGGTTGACTCATAATGACTCTATTAACAAAAGACCTAACATCTTTCCATAGCTTTCATTGTTTCTCCAAGTTCATAGAGTTTCCAGAGGCACGTGGTTTAGGAAGTGGGTGTCACTCCTGCTTCCCAACCTGTTTTACAACTAGGAGCTCCACCAAACACTGTCCACAATGAGAAACCATTATAGTATTTGATGTCCCCATGGCACAAGGTTCAGCACCATAGAAAACTCAGGTTACCTCATACAGCACATTGACAAAGAGTGATGTGCAAAGTGGAAGAATGTTCCTCCAGATATAATAGCACTAATCTCACTTGGCAGTGGCTAAGTGTTGTCAAGTTGAATATGACTCAGAGTAAGCTTTGCACAAAAGACATGAACTCTGTTCTATAATTAACACCATTTCTGTACATTTATAAGAGAGTTTGTAGAGTTTTCAGAGGCATCTAGTTTAGGAAGTGGGTGTCACTCCTGCTTCCCAGCATGAATCAGTCTGGAAGCTCATCCAATCCTTGTACATAATGGGTAACCATTATGGTATTTGACATGACTATGGAGTAGTGTTCAGCATCACAGCAACTCCAAGTTGTTTAGTACAGCAAACAGACAAATGATGGCAGTGTCTTTAAAAGAATATTCTTCTAAAATTAATAAATTTGGCCTGAGGGCCGTAGCCCAAGAGCCCTACAGGATTTTAAAATCACACCTGAGGCTCAAGACCACCCACTTTTGAGGGGTAAAAATAGTAACACACAACAAAAAGGACCCCAGAAACTTCCCTTACCAGAATGCCACCAAGATGAGTTACTGCCATCGAGATGCCAGCCAGCCAGCCAACTTCCAGAGTGGAGGGAGATTCCAAGGCCCTAGGCCCCAGGCCAGCCCACAGACCCATTGCCAAACATCGATTTTAAAGTCACACACTTTAGCAGGCCTCTGTCAGGTCACATTTTTTTTTGGAATTGGGATATGAGCTGTGACAATTATCTTCTTTCTTTCTCTCTCCCTCCCTCCCTCCCTCCCTCCCTCCCTCCCTTCCTTCCTTCCTTCCTTCCTTGCTTCCTTCCTCCCTTCCCTTTCCTTCTTTTCCTCCTTCTTTCTTTCCTTCCCATTCATTGATTATTTGACTTGAAAATAATCCTCATGTATTATCTATCTTCTCATGAGTGAATGTGTCCATATGTGTGTATCTTGGTCTTTATATAACTCAGAAGCAATTAGGTTTAGCATCCACTTTCACCTCTTATGCATTCATAATTATAACAACAACCAGAAGGCCCAAATCCCTTCTGTTCTACAGATGCTTATAGCCACAGGTACAGGGGATTTCAACATACACTTTTGGGGAGACATAGTTATGTCACTGGCAGATAAGATTGTCAAAACGGGCCTGAAACAGAGCCTGGAATTTTATATGGACACTGAGGGTTCCAGGGAATAAACAACAGCCATACCTTTCTGAGCTTTACCTGTCAAGCCTGGACTATGACAGGAACTTTCTTCAAAGGCCAGGAGTGAGCCTGGTAGAGTATGTTGAGGGCAAAGCCTCTATGTTAAACTGAAGGAAAGGATCGGAGAGAAGATGATCTCTGCTGCTTGAATTTATCCCTGCCTTAGACTCTGGGGGGCATGGTGAGATGTGGTTGGGGATGGGGCAACAGTGGAAAACAAAGTGCCTTTTCTAACAAGTCTGTGAGATACTTCTCTGGAACCCTCCTTTCCAAGTGTGTTGGAAGGTAGGTTCAGGGAAAGAGAAAAAGAGAGCAAGAGAGAAGGGGAAGAGAGAGAAAGTGGGAGAGAGAAGGGGCGAGGGAGAAGGAGAGAGAGAAATTGAAAGAGAGAAGGAGAGGAGGTAGAGAGAAGAGAGAGTGGGGAAAGAGAAAGAGGAGAGGGAGATGGGGGAGAGAGAGAAAATGGAAGACAGAAGTGGAGTGGGGAGAAAGAGGAAAGGGAGAAGAGAAAGAGGAGGAAGAAAGGGTGTGTGAGAGAGAAAAGAGGGATTGTGGGAGAAGGCAGAAGAAAGAGAAATGGAGGAAAGGAGAGAAGTGAGGGAAAGGACAAGGAGAGACATTATTTCTCTCAAGGAAATATCTGGCATCTTTGTAGAAGGTGGAAGCTTTCCTTCAGGTGAGAGATGTTCTCTGAGTCTCTTTGCCACTGCAGGAGTCTGACAACACAAGGTAGGCAGATTGCTGACACAAACTCCAGGACCTGGAATGCAGATGATGAAGAGCCAGATAACGCATCCAGATTCAGAAAAAACCAAGAGAATTTCCCTAGATGTCCACATATACTCAATGCAGACTGATGGGCTGCTCATAGTAGATTTCAAGGAGGTGATTATACCAGGCATCACCAAGGAAAAGATGATATTATACCAAGATCTCACCAAGGAAATTATTACAACATAAGAGATCCTGTACAGAGTATGACTACACTATAGCTGTCAAAACAGCAGACAGACCTCCAGGTGATTCTGCTGAAGAATAGTTAGAACAGTACATAGGCAAAGAACTGCCAGAAAGTCAGGCTGGATTTTAAAGGAGCAATGGCATCAGGGGTATCTTGGCTGATGTCAGATGGATCTTGGATGAAAGCAGTGAATAGCCAAAGGATGTCTACCTATGTTTATTGATTATGCAAAGACATCTCACTGTGTGGATCACAACAGGCTATGCCCAACATTGAGAAGTGGAATACCGGAAAATTTAATTGTGTTCATGTTAAAATTATAGCTAGGCCAAGAAGCTCTTGTACAAACAAAGCAAGGGAACACTGCATAATTTAAAATCAGAAAAGTTATGTGTCAAGGGCGAATCCTCTCTCTGTTCTTTTTCTCATTCAATCTCTATGCTGAACAAATCATCTGAGAAGCTGAACTACATGAAGTAGAATGTGACATCAGGATTGGAGGAAGACTCTTCAACAACCTGTGCTATGTAGATGACACAACCTTGCTTGCTGAAAGTGGGAGAACTTAAAATGCTTGCTACAAGGATTAAATAGTCTTCAATAAATGTTGCATCTCAACACTAAGAAAACAAAATCCTCACCACCAGGCCAATAGGTAACTATTGATAGATAAAAGATCCTCAGTGAGATGGATTGACACAGTGACCATAATGGTGTGCTTGAGTATGTCAGAGATGATGAAAATGGCACAGGATAGAAAGGGTTGTTCAGATCAATTGTTCATAGGGTCAATATGGGTCACAGTGGACATGGCAATTCTTAACAACAACATAACTGCTAACCAGAGAGTTGTAGGCAATCAAACTGACACAACCTTGACTATCACAAGAGGCAAAGAGAGATTCTATTATTCAGTCAAACCATAGCTTATAATTGGAGGAGCTTGGATTTAAATCCTTGTAGCTTAGCTGTGATGGCATACTTTGGGCATACTATCAGGAGCACTAAGTCTTTGGAGGAGGATATGCTTGGAAGGAGAAGGTCAACATATGAGAAGGAGACCATCAATGACAGTAATTGGCACAGTAACTGCACCACCAGGCACAGCAGAAAGTGCAAGGATTGTAAAGGATGAGCAAGGGTTCCGTCTGGCACTTAGGGCTCTTGTGAATAAGTACAGACTCAACAATACCTAATAACAAGTCTGGCCTCATGTTTGGACTTCCTAATGCCTCATTATCTTTAGAGAGATTCATTCAATCTCCAATTTCTTGATCACCATTTGATAATGTCCCTGGAAGAGAATTTTAAAAATTCTTTGAGAGGCCAGTTACATCTCCATTTGCCCCAGACCTAAGCATCCAGCTTGTCTGTGCTCCCAATTGCCTGGCTAGCTGTGTGGTATTGCAGGAGAGAGCCCTATCCAACAGCTACTTGCCCCCAAGAGGCTGCCCACCTGCCCCATTCTGAGCACCCTGACTGAGCTGCTTTGGAAGAGGACCCACCCCCACACATGGGATGAGCGATTCCAGGAGCAGTAAGCTGGTGACTGCTGGGACCAGGACTCCTTCTAATCCCCAGCCTGTCAGTGTTTATTGGGGCCTCAGGCGGGCCTGCAGGGATGAGTGGACAGCTGGACTTGCAAGGCTGGCAGCACCAGGAAGCCAGAGAAAGGCCCTGTTTGGGCTGAAGTGATCCTGGAGCCATGAGGGTGATGGTGGGCGTGCTCTTGCTCCTAGCGCTCAGAGGACCCCTCCAGACCTGGGGCTCCTGCCCTTCACAGTGCAGCTGCAGCATCCAAGTGCTGGGTGATGGCAGCAGGGCCAGGTATGGTGTTGGGAGCTTGAGGGTGGCCTGGACCATTATTCTTCCAGTGGGCAGGGTAGGGAGGTTGTGATGCAGGCTCTTTAACCATGACTGGATGAGGTTCCTGTTTCCCTGTCTTTGTGGCCCAGAGATCTTCATGGAGTGATATGCATGGCACTACCATCAGCAAGCAAGAGCTGAGCTTTCTTAGGAGGAGACGTGGATCCACACTTTAGAAACCCTTCCTCAGTCCTCTCCAGGCCCCAGGCATGCAGTTTCTTGAAATATTCCTCCTTTCCCTCTGTCCCTATCTTCTCTTGTCTCCTTGTCTCCATCTCCTGTCTGCATCTCTCTCCATTCTTTCAAACACCCACTCCTGTCCTGGTGTTTTCTCTGACCACAGCCAAGAAGAGGTATCAACTCCACATGCCAACATTCTGGGTCTCCTCTGGCTCAAGATTAGCAACCTCAAGACTTGTCATTCACTGTGGGCTAGACCTTCCCTGGTGTCCTTGCCTTGTTCTCAACCCTTGAGAGCAACTCCCTGCTCCCCTTCCTCTCTGGCCTTTCCCCAAATGGGTATGCAGTGAGGGAAACTCCTTCTCCCATTACAGTTCACTGTTTTCATCTCTCCAGCTGTTCTTCAACCATTTTTCTTTACCTTTTTCTGTCCACCTGCTGAAAACTCAGGTTTTTCAGCCGGCTTGACATGTCAGTCCTGGCTTAGGGCCTTTCCTTGTCTTACTAACATTCTGTTACTCATCGTTCCTTGTCCCAGTCTTGGATGCTGGGGAGCCACTGGAGACTTCTGATCTGGGAAGCAGTGTTACTAGAGGTACTTTTTAAGTGACCCTGCAATGCTTGCAGGATTGATGGGGTGATGGAAGGCAAAGGCAGAGATACCTCTACCAAAATCAGGGACCTCCTATTATGTTGTAAAAACAAGGAAGAGCCCCTTGTGGGGCCCAGATCTCCAAGGCTGAAACTCATGTAGTAGAGCCCTAGTGGGCCAGAAAATAGGCTCAAGAATGGTGTGACTCAGGTGATAAGGATCCCACACACAGTCTACTCAAAGGGCTCTGGGTCACCTGGCCTCAGTGTCAGAACTGGTCCTGGGACCCAGGGTGTCTGACTCTGTCTCCAGGCAGCAGAGTTCACTGTGGATGGAGAAATTATATGCCACACAGTGTCCCTCTGGAGTTAGAGCTCTTGCAGTTGTCAGTGCACCTGACAATCCTGTGGCAGGCATGCATAAGGCCATCTACATGGTGATCTTGTGAGGGAGTGGGTCGTTAAAGGTTGTAGATGCCTGAAGCTTCAGTCAGATGCACAGATTGTGTGATTCACCCAAGTCCTTCATCAGGCCAACCATGTGGGCTGTGGAGACCCTAGACCTTTGATCTGGGTAGCTACTTTCTCCCATGTCCCCAAACCATGAGCAACTGGGAGAGCATGACCTGAGCTGTGGACAGATGTGTGTCATGCTTCTTGTGCACAACTGGTACTCTAGGGCTCATGGTATGATTTGTGGGGGCCTCTTGTTAGTTTCCATGATTCCTACTTTGACCTTTTCTCCTCAACCAGGTCAACTCTCTTCTTTCACCCACAAACAGCCCTTCTTCCATGCAGCACTCAAACCTCCCCAATAGTCTGAAAATATCCCCACCTTACCTGTTCTTTCTACTGCATTTGGATTCCACACCATGTGGGGAGAGGGACTGAGTGATACTTTCCTGAATGGTCAGAATCCATCACTTAAGAGGAGTTTCTTGTGTATGAGGAGCACATGAAAAGGTGCAGATATCTGCACCTTTCTGTGGACAGTGTTTACAAGAAAATCAAACCCATCATGCTGTTTCAATTCTGGTGGCCCACCTGTTACATAAGAAGGTCTGCCGTTTAATAATATTTCAGATAATGGCATTCCTAAAAAGCAACTTCCTTGCTGAAGGAAAACCCATTCTCCAGAGAGAGCAGAAAAACACTCTAATGGAACTGGGGTCAAGCAAGGGCTGGACTCCTGATGCCCAGCCACCAAGTTTTGCCTTCTTCTGGGAGTTTTCCTGTTGGCTCTTCCTTTATATGAATGACTTGCCATCGGTGATCACATAAAGCACAGTACACATTGTATGCTCCTTGAAGGCAGGGCTGTTTCTTCTTTATTTCTCTACTTTCAGGTTTCAGTGTCTAAGAAATCCTTGTTGATGCTGAATGAAGCATCAGCTAAGAGGACCCCCCAGCCAGGTGCATCCCAGAGTGGCAGAGGTCATGATGGCTGTATTACATGGCTTAGAGGGTGATGGACACTTGCTGAGTCTGCATGTAACTCCATGCTGCCCTGGGAAGTGGTGTTTATCACCAAAGGGAAACCAAGACAAAGTGGTCACACAACCAGAAAGCCAAAGATCCAGAAGTGAAGCGAAGCATATAGTCCAGCTCTGGGACACCTGATTACCTCCCTTGAGGGTCAGAGAGAACACAGGTTTCCTACTTCAGACATTTTTTTAAAAATGAAGCTTCCTGAAAGTGGCTACAGGAAGTGAGGAATGATTTAACAGTGTAGTACCTGCTTCACATAGCCAAATACCTGGTATACTACCAACTCAGGAAGGGAGGTGGGACCAACGACAAGACCCCATGCTGGCACTGCAGCCCTGAGAATGGAACCAGATAGTCTGCCCCTGGCATCCCCAGGATCCTATGACATCCCCTGCCCCAGAAAGCTCCCAGGGGGATGTGCTGCTGCTGACCCCTCTCCAGGATCTCTGGAGTCCAGTGTCAGGCTATCTTCACAAAAGGTGAAAGGATGGCCATCCAGCAGGAGTCCATGCCAATTTTCTGCTATGTATGTTACCAGGACGGTGGTGTGCAATGACCCTGACATGACCCTGCCCCCAGCCTCCATCCCCCTGGACACCTGCCGACTGCAGCTGGAGAGGACGGCTATCAGCAGGCTGCCCGAGGAAGCTTTCCGACTGCTGGGCCGCCTGGAACAGTTGTGGCTGCCCTATAATGCCCTTGGAGACCTCAGCGCCTTCATGCTCCAAGGCCTGCAGCGTCTGCATGAGCTGAGGCTGCCTGGGAACCACCTGGTCACTTTCCCCTGGGCGGCTCTCAGAGATGCGCCCCAGCTGCGGCTGCTGGACTTACAGGCCAACCGCCTGGCTGCTGTGCCAAAGGAGGCTGCACACTTCCTGGGAAACCTCACCTTCCTGGACCTCTCCAACAACCAGTTGATGAGACTCCCACAGGAGCTGCTGGCTACCTGGGCCCATCGACAGACATCATCATTCCTGCCTGGCTACCACACCAGGCTGATCCTAGGTAAGGGGGGGATGTGTTGTCTCAGGCTCATTTGTCCTTCTCCAGTAACAGTTCTGGTTCATTGGTTGGTGTGAGTGGAGACTGAAGGAGAGGAAGAGTATCAGGTTTAGATCTCAAGAAGCAAGGGAGATAGATGTCTGCAGTCCAAACCCCAGCTCTGCCTCTTCTAGCTACCTCAGCTTCTGCTAAGGGAAGCTAATGACCACATTAAAAGGCTTTTACTAAAGTGGGGGAAAGGCTGTGCTGAGTGTTCCGGAAATCCGTGGTTCCCACTGAAGAAAGACTAGGAGTGCTGTGGGCCCCATCAGGTGCCAGGGGCTGTCTCAGCAGCAGAGCACTTGCCCCAAGACATACTCTTCTTGGAGGAGGTGCCACTCAAAGCCTATGAGTGCTGCATTTAAAGGCTTAGCCTCTTGGGACAACCTGAGGCTCTCAGTTCCAGAGATCCCCAGGGGCCAGCAGATGTGATCATCCCCACCACAGTTCCATTCTCCCTTCCTTAATCTTTCCTTTCTTTCTCTTAGTTTGTTTTCCTTCCCCATGGGCCCTCCTCCTCTTAAAAGACCCAGAGCATGTGAACCTTCTGTCACAGCTCACTTTTGTGGCACCCAGAGCCTGTGAAACCCTCTTATGAAGGATGCTCTGAGCACTCTGCACACAATCTGTGCCCTTTGTTCATTACTCAGTCTTTCTGGTCTGTCTGTGCTCCTTCAGGCACTCACACCACCCTGGGATGTTACAGCACAAATATAATCTTTTCTTCTGCAGTTGAACAAGTCTGGGAGTTGTGAGTGGTGGCACCATTCATCTAGTTGTGCTCCTTTCACTGTGGAATAAGGATGTGGGAACTATAAGGACATGGGGACTATAAGGATGTGAGAACTATAAGGACATGGAAACTAGACTGGGGAAGTAGAAAGGGCATCAGAGGAGAGGACCTTGCTTTGAGAAGCCTCTTGGTGACGTGTGTCTGGAAAACCTCTTGACTCCTTCTGGGTCCAGTATGAGGGCAGAATCCATGTCAAAAGAATCCTAAGGGTTCTGGTGAAACACCTGTCCAGAGACCACAAAATTTCTCAAGAAAGAAACATTTAGAATGGTCACTTCTAGAAACAGGGTAGGGAACTCTGTCCACCCACGTCTAGCCACCCTCCCATAGATGTCTTTTTCTAGCCTTTTTTGAGTGTTGTCAGGGCCTTGCATGGATCATACTTGCACAGAGCACTATTTGTGTGTTTAACTGAATGTTCCATTATTTTTTTTTCTTCATCTAAATCTGGCAGCCTTATCCCAATAGCGAGAAACAAGAGAAAAAAAAAGTAACTCACCCTTATAAATAAGGGGACTGTGATGCATTCAAGGTCATGCAACCAGGAAGGAGCTCTGGGGAGTTGGTGTCCCAGTCCACTGTAGAACGAGTTAACATAAAACTACAGACACCCCTGTGTCTCTTGGATTTCCCCTCTGTGAATGATCTGTTCTTACCAGTTAAACTAGACCTCCCAGCCTGTCTGAGACATCTGGCAGCCCTAAGGGTGGTAGATGGGGTGTTACCCATTCTGAAAAATTAACTTTAAATATGTAACTCATCCCTGGATATATGTGGACATTTGAAATAGCAGGAAAAGCTACATTCCCTTCCGTCTCCTATTCCTATTTCAAATCCTTCTCCCTTTCCCAAAATGTAGCCAGTCTGTTGACTTGTATGACTGCTTTACTGACCTTTACTTACATATAAGTATATACATACAAATAAATACACAAAACATATTTGCATCTATTTAGGCTTTTATTGTATTGTATATATCAGCCAGTAGTAAATTTTTCACCCCAAACACATCATGCAGATCATTCTAAAGTATTAGAAATGGATTTCTTTTCCTTTCTAAACTCTGCATTGTTCTATAGCAGTGCTTTCCTCCCTGAATGGACCTTTATGCTATTTCTGTTAGATTAACACCTACGATGCTATATAGAACATCGTACCTTTCTTTCCAGGACCAGAGCTGAGAAGCAGGAACGCTGGCTCAAGAAACACACACAGGGAATGTTTACATCCAGCCTCATATTTTCTAAACTGCTACGCATGTTCTCACCCATCACTCATCAGTGATTGTCTGCCCATGTGCAGGCCCTGCTCTCGATCTGAGATACAGCTGTGAAAAAAAGGTGGAAATCTACTCCCTCGTGGAGTGGACAAATGAAATGACCACAGTGCTTGACTTTGACAAGATTGGAAGTTGAATGTTTCAGTATTGTCTGATTTTGTCTCCTGAATTCCCCCAGAACCTTGCTGTGATTGGATGAAGTACAGGGAGTGAACCACCAGAGCTTGGCAGTGATGAATCTTGGGCTGCAGATTAATTACATGCATTATGCAAGGGTCAGAGTAGCACTGAGGTGGAGGAGGACATGGCCCCTCAGCTAGTGCTCCAAAGAAACCTAGACTGGCATCTGTGCCCTCAACCCTCAGTGAGCCCTCCCAGTCCTCTTATGTCCCTTCCAAACATATGCAAGTGCAAAAGGTGTACACCTTAATAATAACAGCTTAATAATAACTCAACATAATAACAGGTCTGCAGAAGAAGAATGCCACCCACATTAAGAATGTGAATTTTTCATTTCAGATATGGCCACATTTGAACAGGAATGTGTTGTCTTAGTGGAGAGAACACACTGTTGCCTCCAGTATGTATAAGGCTCTTTGACAGGGTAGAAGCCAATGGTAATTTTTATGTGGCATAATTGAATTTTCTGGCTCCCTCCTCCTCCTCTTACCCCCATTTGAGCCTGTGTCAATGGCATGAGGGCTCCAAGCACCCTCCTCACTGTTAGAGTGATATGACAAGTGTCATTTAGGCTTAGAGCACAGAGGTCAAGGGTCAGTGGAGCATTTTTAGAATTGGGGTTTGACATTGGAATGATTGCAGAAATTTTCACAGCTGGGTGAGTGGGCTGCAAGAATTATTTTGAGAATGGCAGCAATAATTGCCAATCTTGAAGGTATTTTGCTATTATGTGTATAGAAAACCAAACGCCAAACCTGTGGTCGCTGTGTTGATTGTGGTCACAGTGACAGACAAAAGTGCCCTATTGAACTTGTGAGGGTGTAAATAAAATTGACAAACTTGTAGTCTACAGTAGAGTTCTTAGCCATTGCAATACTAGAGCTCCATAAAGCCATGAAAGCACATTACCATTTATCTGCTGGGGCTCTGCTGGTATCCGGTTAGATGCTGAGCTGCTAATCCATCAGCCACGCTGTAGACGAACGATATGGATGTGCTCTTTGGAGACATATGTATTTTGAAGCCTTGCCATTCTCACTTCTGAGGAGCATCCTGTCTGTACTCTACGACACGTACTGTTCTTCTGGTATATCTGATATCCTTTACTCGCCAAGTTGTGTCAAAAAATCTGGAGGACAACCACTTGGCCAACTGATTGGAAGAGATCTATATTTGTTCCCATTCCAAAGAAAGGTGACCCAACAGAGTGTGGAAATTATTTAACAATATCATTGATATCACATGCAAGCAAGGTTCTGCTGAAGATTATCCAAAAACGACTGGAACAGCACCTCAACAAAGAACTGACAAAAGTGCAGGCTGGCTTTAGAAGGGGTGTGGTACCAGGGATATTGTAGCTAATGTTAGATGGATCTTGGCTGCAAGCAGGGAGTACCATAGGATTTCTATCTATGTTTCATTGATTATGCAAAGGCGTCTTACTGTATGGATCATAACAAGCTGTGGCTGACTCTGAGAAAAATGGGAATCCCAGAACACTTGATCATGCTAATGGAAAACCTATATTTGGACCAAGAGTCAGTCATCAGAACAAAGCAAGGAAACACTGCATGGTTCAAAATTGGGAAGGGTGTATGCCAGGGATGTGTCCTAGCTCCATATCTTCTCAACCTATAAGCAGAACAGATTATCCAGGAGACTGGGCTCTATAAGGAGAAGTGTGGTATCAGGATTGGTGGATTATGCAGATGACGCAACCCTGCTTGCTGAAACTAAGGAGGACCTAAAGCGCTTGCTGCAGAAGATCAAAGACTGCAACCTTCAGTATGGATTGAGGCTCAATATCCAGAAGATGAAGATTCTCACCACTGGGTCAACTGGCAGCATCAGGATAGATGGTGAAGAGATTGAGATTGTTAACAGCTTTAGTCTGCTTGGCTTCATAGTCAACACTCTTGGCACCAGCAGCCAGGAAATTAAAAGACATTTTGTGATGGGAAAGTCTGCTGTTAGGAAGCTCTTCAAAGTACTGAAGAGCAATGATGTCACTATGGAGACTAAGGTGTGTCTGATACAGGCCATGGTCTTTGCAATCACTTGCTGTGCATCAGAGTTGGACAATGACTAGGGAGGATAGAAGGAGAATTGATGCTTTTGCTCTGTGGTGTTGGGGAGGAATATTGAATATACCATGGAAAACGAACAAGTTCATCCTGGAGAAGGTTAAACCAGATTGCTCCTCAGAGGCAAAGATTCTGAAACTTTGTCTGACATACTTTGGACATGTTGCAAGGAAGACCAGTTCTTGGAGAAGGACATCATGCTTGGGAGGTGGAGGGACAGCACAGGAGAGGAAGACCCTTTATGAGGTAGGTTGATTCAGTGACTGGGGTAATGGGGGTAGGTGTGTCGGAGACAGTGAAATTGGCATAGGATAGAGCAGGGTTTAGGGCTGTTGTACATAGGGTCACTATGAGTCGCAGGTGACTCAACGGCACACAACAGCAACTACACCATACTTAGAGAGTATTAGTCCTTCTTTAACACTTTAAAGAGGTCCCTCCTAAACAGGTTTGCCCAACACTTGATTCCTCGACCACTGCTGATTATAGATCTAATCTGACCATCATATTGTATCTGTTTATCATGATTTATTTGTTCAGCTGTGCATATTTTAGTTTTCTTTGTGGTCAGGTGTATTCTATACTGAAGGCTGTAGTCTTTGGTCCTCACTGGAAAGATTTATACTTAAAACAACTCCCAAAGGGAAATAAGACACACATTTAATCTGCAGAATAAGGGCAGGTCACAGAGCTGGCTAATTAGGCGAGGAGCTGGGCCTGGAGGCTGGTTCTGATGGCCTCAAGTTCAGGGCTAACCCTGTGGTCCTTTCCATGTGGAGGGGTCTGAATCCCCAGGGCTCATATCTTGCCTTTTCTCTCTTGTCTGACAGGGCTCCAAGACAACCCGTGGGTGTGCGACTGCCAGCTCTATGACTTAGCCCACTTTATGGATGACTGGTCTCCATATCTGGCCTTCATTGAGTCCAGGTTGCTGTGTGCCAGCCCCAAAAGCCTGGCTGGGGTGACCTTCAGCCAGCTGGAACTTAGGAAGTGCCGGGGTCCAGAGCTCCGCCCAGGTGTAACTACCCTTAGGTCACCTGTGGGCAGCACAGCATTGCTTCGTTGTGGGGCCACAGGAGTCCCTGGGCCTGAGATGAGCTGGAGGAGGACCAACGGGAAACTGCTCAATGGCACAGGTATACACAGGGCCTGCTGGACGGTGATCATTGGCTAGCTGGGGCCAGGACAAGGCTGTAGCCTAAGCAAGCTGAATATCCATCTAAGGGGAATTGGCAGACCACACCTGAGTCAGGGCCTGGAACAATGACTTTGAGGTTGACAATTAATAGCATTTGCCCTATTTCATCCCCTCAGCCATTTTGTCAGACACTTATCCTCACTTTGATAGGATAAAAAAAATGGGCTTTTGGAAGCCAAATGTCGGTGTATTAGGGTTTATAATAGGTTTTCCAACTGTAACTATCAGGCTAGTAACTCCAGGAGTCTCTTGGTGGTACAAACAGTTATCGTATGTGGCTGCTAAGTGAAGAGCTGAAGGTATGAATTAATCCAGAGGCATCTTGGACGAGTCTTCTTATACTTCCAAAGATCAGCTGCTGAAGCCCTACCAACCAGGTCTGTTCTGGAACACACGGGGCCAGCAGGAGTTGAGGCTGACTTGATAGGCCCTCATGAGAACAATTCACCACATGGATTGATTACTTGCTGTGTATTGAATGCCAGCATGGTGCTAAGGGCATTATGCACATGTGGGCTTTGAACTTTAGTAAGCATTCTGGTTATCTTTCTACTTTGCATGTGAGTAAGCTGAAGCTTTGAGAGGTGAAGTGTGTAGTTAGTTTACTTTTCACAACTCATAGATGAAGGAGTTGTCATCCTCATAAAATGGGTCAGCCCACTCCTGGCACCCTTTCTGCTGTGTCTTAAACACCCTTAAGGTGGGAGAAGGGTAAACAACAATGCTTTTCTAGCATCAGATCAGAGAACCTCTCAGCTTCCTTCTGTGTCTCCTGCAATTATATTGGAAACCACTGTGCCAGGAGAGTGGATGTGAAAGCAGTTGACAAACTTGTACATGGAATCCTGTCTTAGAAAGCAGATAAGTGGAGAGGGTGTGGCTGAAGGGCAGTGGCTGGGGATAGGGCACATGCTTCCCCTCGACCTCTCCTCACTTCCCTGATCTATCCCAAGTCCAATGGGCTCACTTCCCTGGAATCCCAGTACTGTGGAAAGCACAGCTGGAACAACTCACATCTGTTAAGTGCTGTCCCTACCTGGGCTCCAGCTACTCCTCAGGATTTGCAATCCTGCTTCCCTTGGATCTTCATGGAAAGACAGAAGGAGGCCAGCATTTCTCAGGATAGCAGGCACTCCTGTGGGAGCCTGCCCTTGAGGGACGTGCCTCTTTTCTCCTATGAATCCTCTTTCTCCCTACAGTGCACCAAGAGGTCTCCCAGGACGGTACCAGCTGGGCTCTGCTGGGCCTGTCCGCAGTGTCCTATCAAGACTCCGGAGACTATGTTTGCCAGGCCAAGAACCTCCTGGGCATCTCTGAGATGCTTGTGTCCCTGACTGTCACTGAGGTCCAGGCTTCCACAGAGCAGAATCAGGACTCTGCGCCTCTGCGGGCAAGGACAGGAGAGGGATCCGAAGATGCCGCTTACAACGACAAACTGGTGGCGAGGCATGTCCTCAAGTCAGCAGCCTTGGCCCCTTGGACCCCTGCACCTGCCACACAGGAGCTTCAGACCAGCGTGCCAGGTGAGGGCCCCCCGAGGCCAGAGGCACGACTGGTACGATCCCTCAAGGTGGTGGGGGACACGTACCACAGTGTGTCCCTGATGTGGAAGGCTCCCCAGGCTGGAAACACGACAGTCTTCAGCGTCCTCTATGCCGTCTTTGGACAGCATGACATGCTGCGAGTGCCCCTACAGCCTGGCGAGACCAGTGTCACCATCAATGGGCTGGCGCCACGAACCAAGTACGTGGCATGTGTGTGTGCTCGCGGCCTGGCCCCGCGCAAGGAGCAGTGCGTCATATTCTCCACTGACGAGGTGGTGGACGCCGAAAGCACACAGCGCCTCATCAACGTGGTGGTGGGCAGTGTGGCTGCAGTCATCGCACTGCCCCTCACGCTGCTCGTGTGCTGTGGAGCCCTCCGCAGACGCTGCCGTAAGTGTCGCAGCCGCAGGCCCACTGAGGTCACCAGGGCCTACATTAGCTTGGAGAGGCTGGGCCACAGCGACCATGGCTCCGAGGGGTTATATCGCCACGGCCTGGACGAGGCCGACAGGCTCCTGTCAGCCAGGTCCAGCCTGGACTCTCAGGCCCTGGGGGGCGGGCACATCCATGAGTACTACTGCTGAAACACTGTTGCTGCCACATGGGTGTCCCTCCACCTACTCCTGTCCACCTTCCTCATCCTCGACCACTGTGTGCTCAAACTCCTGAGTGCAGCTGGGCCGCCAGCTCACCCATTTTGATAGATGCTACTAAACACGATGTGTCATTTGCAGGCACTCTGGATGCATAGTGGGTAGGGAGTTGTGCTGCTAACCCAAAGGCCCACTTCTCTGGCAGTTGGGATCCATCAGAAGAAGAAAAATGGACAATCTCCTCTCATGAAATTGACAACCTCTGAAAACCTGCTGGAGGATCAGCTGTTAGTTGGTTGTTACTAGAAGGCAATGAGAAAGAGAGGAAGAGACTTCTGGCTAGCCAGCATGCTGACAGTCTACCCAGAGGAGTCTCAAGAGGAAAATCTGGCCGTTGCCTCTGCAAAATAGCCACTATCTAGTCCTCTGACACCCATGGCGTCCCTGCAGTCCAAGTTGACTCTTATGCTTTCGAGTTGGTTTTCAATGTGCCAGGAAGACTTCTAAGTGCTTTACGAGGGTTAACTCATAATTATTTTAACTATCCTTTGCAGCATGCCCCATTAGTCTTCCCATTATTATTCCTGGAAAAGACTACTTAAGGGGATTGAGACACTTGCTGTAATCATTTTCTGATTTTGGGGTTTTATGTTTTATGGTGCATAAGCATGATTCAAGAGCTCAGCAGGAGACAGTAACTAGTGCCTGATTGAGAGACATGGCCTGGGTGTCAGCCATGTTGGTTTTGTCCTGTGAGCTCTATTTGGGACTTAGGCTTATAAAGTCAGGCTTCTTAAGGGCAAAGCCCACTCATGACAGACAGAGATGAGCAAAAACCTATAGATGCCTCTTAAGCTCTCTGTGATTGCCTCGTAGTCCATTTCACACATATCTATCTGCCAAAGCAAGCCGCACAGCCAAACCCAATTCTAATGTGGCAAGAAGGACATCTCCCTGCATGTGATGGTGGGGCAGTAAGTCTATGACCAGGATTACACAGCTTGTGAGGGTATTTCTGGAAGTGTGACAGATAGCAGGGCTTCATTGGCCTTGACAGTATCCTATATGCATGTTCCAGCTCTTGGCATTTATGTCCAGCTCTGCCACACACACATACAAAATATCATAATTTCTCACATTTCATGTCACACTTGTATGTAATGGTTCACGTGTTCACTGTTAACTGAAAGGTGAGAAATCCAAGTCCAGCCAGAGGGGCCTGAGAAGAAAGCCCTGACTATTCACTTCTGCAAAGTCAACCTTGGAAAATCTTGTGGAATGCAGCTCCACTCTGATATGTATGATGTCACCTTCATAGCAACTGGTTTGTCACACTTGGGCACTCTTGTGTCCAACTCATCCTACTTACCTGCCTACATGCACTGTGTCCTTGCTCCATATATACTCAGTGACCCTAACATTAATTATCCAGGTGCCATTCCCTCCAGAGACAATAATCTGATTATCAACAAAGTCAGGAGGCTTGGATGATGCCAAGAGATCATTGATTGCTCTGTGGCACACAACTCTTTCAGGCATACAGATCACCTCTGCCCAAAGTAGCAACCTTTATTATTCTTACTGAAATACAGCTGGGTTCCTGAAGATGTCTCATAAACATTCTGGGTTAATGCCCAAGATGTGTTACAAAGAGTTCACTGTCAGTTTTGCTTTAAGCTTGGAGACCGCAGAGATGTTGTCTCTATGCAGGAGAAGGTAGACATCCCTAGTAGAATGCTTAATGCTGTGTCTTGTTTACAGGGCTGGCCTCTTGTGGGTGGGAGCCTTGAGGGATTGGTGCCAAAATTTTTTTTGGTTATAATTGAGGAAATTTGGAGACAGAAAATTTATTTTATCAATATTACACAGGCCATCCTGTCTTGTTTTGATTATTTACTAGACAGAAACTATATGATGCAGTGCTTTCTAAAAGGTACTGTAGTCTCCTCATTTACAAAATACCTTACAGTACATGATCTTAGAGCAAATGTTCCTTATTTTCTTTAACTTGGCCCTCACTACAATCCTCTTATGAAGTCTAGGCTCCTTAATTTTATGTTGGAAAACTGAAGCTCCAAGAGGTGAATGATTAATAGAATAGTGATGGATTCTCCTTAGGAATTTTTATCTTTGACAGCTTTTAAATCTGGTCAAGGATCTTTGTTCACTGCTGATTTCCTCAGTTTGATCCTCATGCATGGAAAAGTGGAGGGTCAGTAAAGGAGGGGAAGACTCTGAATGAGCGGTGACTGTAACAATTGACTCTAATGTGGCAGAGATGATGAAGACAGGACAGGATTCAGATTTATTGTTGCTATGAGTTGTAGTTGACTCAACAGCATCTAACAACAACAATAACAATTAGATTCATTGATTATTTTGTTTTGCTTTGGTTTTTTCCCCATCACCAAAAGTTGGAATCAATACCCAAGGAGCATCTGTGAACATGGATGTAGAATTCCAAACCTGAGGAGGGTGCAGCTGAACTATATTGCTGGTGGTGGTAGTTAACTAGTTTTGACTCATGGGATTTTATGGACAACAGAACATAATGTTGAATGATCCTGTGTCATCCTTACAATCACAAGCATATTTTAGTCTCTTGCAAAGATACTCAAAGCATCTTTGAACAGTTACTGTGCTTCCAGTAAATCTCCCCCTTACTGGAACCAAACATAATGTTCTCACCTAAGAATTCAGTCCTTTTTAACAATACATTAAAAACTAGCTAATTGAGCAAAGTGCACAGACATTGGTAAGAAAAATAATTTGGTGTGAAGATGACAAATACACTGTCTACACCAAGAGTCAGCAAATGTTTTCTGTAAAGTTCTGTACTAAGAACTTTAGGCTTTGTGGTTACTACTCAAGTTTGATGATGTATATGTAAAGTAATTATTGACACTAAGAATGAATATGTTCTCGTAACATACTACTTACACATTGGAAAACAGACTGAATTAGGCCCTCACGCTATAATTTGCAAGCCTCCCTCTAAATTTATATAGGTATTTTTGCTGTATATTGAGAGACTCAAGATTCCATTCTGATTGTTTGATATAAGGAACTGACAGATCCTTCAAATTAGAACAAAAAATTACAATAGGTAAAATCAGTCATTTGTTGAAATAATAAAGTTTTGAATGATTGACTAAGATTGAATTATGACTGACCTGAAGACAACTATAATGGAGCCAATTTTACTTAATTTTGTTTAACAAAAATTCACCTAGAGAGAGAGAAAGACTGAGTTTCTAGTTTTCCAGTGACTCACCAGGGCCTATCATTGTCTGGACGGAATGGCTCCCCAAATGGTAAGCCTTCCAACACCCATCTGTCAACCTTTCTTTCCTTTATACGTCTTCCCTTGTTTGCTCTTCTAGAGAAGAACCATCCTGGATTGTGCTTGTGAATATTTAAGTCTTTGGAAAAAGTAAATTCTCTTTGTGAAACAATAAACTAGTGTCTGGTTTACATGTTAGTCTTTTAGAATATGAGTCTGCTTAGTATGACTTAGTCCTTGAAAACCTGATCTGAGTGAATAAATCAAAGAGTTTCTATCTTTATATGTTGAAGACTGGGAGGTCTGGTGGTCTAGTGGTAAGAAGTTGTGCTGTTAACCTGAAGGCACACAGTTCAAATATAACAGCTGCTGAAGAAAGATGGGTGATGTCTTGTGTGATTTATTGCCTCTGAAAACCCAGTGGAGAGTCAGCTATGAGGCAGTTCTAACTTGATGACACACAACAACAACGCTGGAGACGAGCTTAAACTATGATGATCTCAAGACGTGCTACTGTTTGAAAGCTTCTAAAGGCAGTCTTTTATAAGACTGGTTGGCACTGCCCCATGGTGTAAAAGTAGCTTGGTAGAAGAGGAATCTGATCTCCTTTAAGCTTATGAGGGGGGAAAAGCATCAGCACAAAAGCTGATAACTTGAAGAAGTCATATATACCTGTACTCTTCAAACTTTTTTTTAAAACCCTCAATTGTAACACCAACTGCATGACATTGAACTCTTTATTTTTCTGCTAGGTTTGATGATTTAGTGTAAAGGCCACAGAGACCTCACAGTCAACACTCACAATCATTGATAAGTAGTAGCTTACAATTCAGGATCAGAAGTTACTATATGTTGTTACTGCTTCTCTGCCTCTCCTTCTCACTATCTCTTGCTGTCTCTCATGTAACAGCACTGTCTGCCTGTCTCTCTCTCTCTCCCTTCAGTCTAAGAAGTTCTAAGCAGAGAGATACCTGGTTTATTCCTGGCTCTTCTTTCTTTGTGGCCATAAGGTCCCTCTCTCCTTTGCAATTCAACAGAGGACTTCCAGATGTGCAGACTGGGTTTAGAAGAGACTGTGGTACTAGGGATATTATAGCTAATGTGAGATGGATCTTGGCTGAAAGCAGAGAGTACCAGAGGAATGTCTATCTATGTTTCATCAACTATGCAAAAGCATTTGACTGGGTGGATCACAACAAACTGTGATTTACTCTCAGAAGAACAGGAATCCCATAACACTTGATTGTGCTTATGTAAAACCTATAATTGGACCAGGAGACAATAGTCAGAACAGAGAAAGGAAACACTGCATAGTTCAAAATCAGGAAGAGTGTACACCAGGGATGCATTGTGTTTCCATATTTCTTCCATCTATATGCAGAACAGATCATCTTGTCAGCTGGGATCTATGAGAAGGAGTGCGGCATCAGGATTGGAGGAATACTCATCAACAATGACAAAACCTTACTTGATGAAACTGAGGAGGACATGAAGCACTTGCTGCATAAGGATGAACTGAAATATGAATTGAAGCTCAACATCAAGAAAACAAAGATTTTCACCACTAGGCCAATTAGCAGCATCATGATAGATGGTGAAGAGATTAAGATTGTTAACAGATTTATTTTGCTTGGCTCCACAATCAGCACTCTTGGTACCTGCAGTCAGGAAATCAAAACACAAACTGCATTGGGAAAGTCTGCTGTCA